CACTCACCTCAGCCTCCCAAAGGCACGGGATTACAGGCTGAGCCACCGAGCCCAGCGAAAACTGAAGTTATTTTAAGTTGTAGTATAGTATATGCTACTAGTACATAATAACAGTTTCTAGTTAAGCATTACAGATGGAACATACCAGTTCATTGTCACTCTCTCCCCAAATTCCGCTAAGACAATAAAAAAGATCTCTTCAAAGACATAAACAAGAAAAAAAGGGAACAAGAGAGAAGATAATGACAACAAAATATTGGAAGCTGAGAAGCAAATGAACCATTGGCTACTGACTGAACAACCAGAAAAAGCTAAATCTTCTGCCCATAGTTGAGGTTCTGGAAATAGGCCAGCTAATTCTAAAAGTGGAAAAAACAAGGGGATTAGTTAAAAATCTGTTTGAGAAGCAGTGAGAGCCCCAGACCCTTCCTCACTCTAGAAACCTACAAGGAGGTTTCTGCTCTGAAAAGGCTAAGCCTATAATGCTCCAGCCTCTGACACCAGGCACAGCCCTGCAGAGAACTTACAGAAAGCCAGTTCATGACATGGAGGCTTTCCCAGGGAAAGGTAATAGTGCATGTCCTCCCTGAAAAACTCATCTAGAAGTTAGACAGTCAAGTGTGATATTTGGGAGCCCACCAATAAAACGGCCAGGCAGATCACCCTGCTGTGAAGCCCACACAAGTCTTCAATGTCCATGGGGGTCCATTCAATGCCCAGAGTTACTCATTTAGCAAGTAATTGCTGAGTATTGATTATGTGCTGGACCACTGTACCAAGCTCCAAAGATATATAGCAGTAAACAGATAAAAATTCCTGGCCTCATAAAACTTACATTCTACTGAGAGAAACAAGACACAAAACAAGGATTTTCGGAATGCTGTAGACAAAGACACAATCTTACAAGCTTCAAGAGAGAACAAAATGAGATTAGGAACAGAATGCATTCAATGGCAAGTTTTGAAGATGCTGCCCAGAGGAAAAAGTGGTTCTGGGCAAGGGGGAGCAGACCCTCTACCTCCCAAAGTACTGGGATTACAGGCTGAGCCACTGTACCTGGACTCCTGGACTCTTTCTTAGGAAGCTGTTGGAGGGGATGGTCCATCATACGAGGGAATTAAGCCAAAAAACTAGAAGATTTGAAGTCTAGGAAGCAGGGATGTAATATAGGATGAAGCAGACAAAGATGCCAATGCTGGTTGTTTATCAAGACTGGGGAGTGGTGAGTCCAGACTCGAAGAGGAAGATGAAGCCCTTCTAGGGGGTATCTTCAAGAAGATAATGGAAGTAATCAATTTACCTGATGGCTTAAACATGTTGAGAAGCGGCCCATTTTTACAGAAATGTTTCAGGATAAATTAGTGATACATACAGAGAATATCAATCAAATAAATATAATTATTAACAACTCTAGGAGGAAAAAATAAATTATACATGAAATGAAAATACAGTGTGTGTACACAGTACATTATGGCTGTACTGTGAATAATATTTATATAGTAGCAAAATTAAAACAAACAGCAAAAACTGATCTAACCCAAAAGTGTGTTATAACTATATTGGGAGAAAGGAGGGCAATGAATGTGTGTGTGTGTGTGTGTGTGTGTGTGTGTGTAGGGGGTGTAGAATAATTCAATTTTCATACTTGGAATACAATGAATAATAAATAAATCTGGAAAATAAAAAAAAATAACAGTATAAGCAAGATATTTAGAAGTATGGAGACAAATTCCATACTGGTAATGAAACTGTAAAGTCATTAAGCAGTCCTCCTGGAATGTCCTGGTGAGTTTCTGCAGGAGCCTCCCAAGCCAGAAGAAGGGACTATTATTTCAACTGGTCCAAGCCAGTTTACAGTGAGAGCTCCAGACCAGGCATTTTTCCCAGCTTGTGGGTTGTATATTTTTAAAATACCCTTTACCTTCTTCCATTTTCGCATTAGAAATGAGCATCTGTCTCAAATGCTTGAGGAGGCCAGCCCAAGTAAACGTGCTGTATGCCAGTGACTTCTCAGACATCTGAGGAATGTTACGAATACCCAGCATCTTGAATTCAGGATGGGGGACTAAATTCTCCATTAAGTCTCCTGTAAAGAAAAAAAGATCTGAACTTAAACTTTTTTTTTTTTTGAGTTGGAGTCTCACTCTGTTGCCCAGGCTAGAGTGCAGTAGCACACTTCTGGCACCACAGCTTCAACCTGCTGGGCTCAGGTGATCCTTCTGCCTCAGCCTTCCAAGTAGCTGGAACTACAGGCACGTGCCAACATGCCCAGTTACTTTTTTGATTTATTGTAGAGTTGAGGCCTTGCTAAGTTGCCTAGGCTGGTCTCGAACCTGTGGGCTCAGGTAATCATCTCACTTTGGCCTCCCAAAGTGCTGAGATTATAAGTGTGAGCCACCACCTCTGGCCCGAACTGAAATTTTTTATTCCACACTATACACAATCATAGTTTGAAAGATTTTTTCCCTCCTCTAATGCCAGTTTTTCTTAATCTTTAAAATATAAATATAATTTCAGAGACAATGTCTATGATAGACCACATCTTTGCTTCATTGTGGCACCCATTTTTAGCATGGTGAGAAGCATACTTTGCCATAAAAGAAACAAGAATGTCGAGGCTGAGTAACTGGAAATGTGTGCAATATTTAGCTAAATCCAGGAAACAAAGTAAGCATGAGAGTGGACTTGATTTTCTTGCCATTCATTCAGAAGTGATACTAGGTATCTTACTTATTTTATCTGGTTAACCTAATCATCAAAACCTGCTTCGCATGAAACTCTACTTGGAAAGAAGATAGGATTAATAATTCCTTAAGACAGAAATGTATCTGTCTTTAGAAACTTGGATTTACAATGAAATAGAGGCTGGGCACTGTGGCTCATGCCTGTAATCCCAACACTTTGGGAGGCTGAGGCAAGAGGACTGCCAGAACCTGTGGGATCAAGACCAGCCTGGGCACATGGCGAGACCTCATCTCTACAATAAAAACAAAAACAATTAGCTGGGTGTGGTGGCGCATGCCTGTAGTTCCAGATACTTGAAAGGCTGAGGCAGAAGGATGGCTTGAGCCCAGCAAGTTGAGACTGAGGTGGCCGTAAGCATGCCACTGCACTCCAGTCTGGGTGACTGAGTGAGATTCCAACTCCAAAAACAAAAAAACAAGCATATAATGAAATAGAATGAAAAAGAAGGCTAATTTACATTTACAGCTGTCTGATATATTTATAGAAAATACCTATGTCGGGTGCAGTAATCCCAGTACTTTGGAAGGCAGAGACGAAAGGATTGCCTGAATCCAGGGGTTCAAGTCCAGCCTGGACAGCTTGCTGAGACCTTGCCTCTATCAAATGAAGAAAAATTAGCTGGACGTGGTGCCACATGCCTGTAGTTCCAGCTACTTGTAAGGCTGAGGTGAAAGGACTGCCTGAGGCTAGCGGGTTGAGGCTGTGGAGGCTGTGAGCAGCGTGCTACTGCACTTCAGTCTGGGCTACAGAATGAGACTCCAACTAAAAAAAAACAGAGCAAAGCAAGGAGATAGGAGATTCAGGTGAGTAAGGATCAGATTTTATTTTATTTATTTTTTGGGTCAGAGTTTTACTCCTTCGCCCACGCTGGAGTGCAGTGGCATGCATGCTCAAGGCCACTCCAGTGTTGACCTTCTGGACTCCAGCGATTCTTCCGTCTCAGCCTTTCGAGTCACTGGAACTACAGGCGTGTGCTACTTACTACGCCTGGCTATTTTTTATTTTATTGTAGAGACAAGGTCTCACCAAGTTGCCCGGACTGGTCTCGAACTCGTGGGCTCAGGCAATCCACTCTCCCTGGCCTCCCAAAGTGCTAGGATTACAGGCTGAGCCACCGAGCCTGGGCTAGGGTCAGATTTTTTGTTGTGTTTTGTTTTGTTTTTGAGTTGGAGTCTCACTCTGTCGCCCAGACTGGAGTGCAGTGGCCGCTCCCGGCCACCGCAGCCTCGACCTGCTGGGCTCCGGCAATCCTTCCGTCTCAGCCTTCCGAGTAGCCAGAATTACAGGCGCACGCTACCACGCCCAGCTAATTTTTGATTTATTGTAGGTCTTGCTGCCTAGGCAGGTCTCGAACCCACGGGCTCAGGCAATCCACTTACCTCAGCCTCCCAAAGCGCGGGATTACAGGCTGAGCCACCGAGCCCGGCTCCTAGGGTCAGATTTTAAATGAGATGGTTACAGAGGGCTTTGTTGAGAAGATGCTGTCTCCTCAAAGACCCAAATGGGGAATGAGCCACAAGAATATCTAAGGCTATTTAGTGCAGAGACTCTGGGGCACACCAGGTATGTCCTAGGCATAGCATGGAGGCCAGTGGATGAGGAAGAGGAGTAGGATATGAAAGGCACAGGGAACAGCCAGAAGGATGTCTCCCAAGATGGCACCAACCCTATAGGGAACCTAACAAAGACAACAAAGTCCGTAAATTCCTGCCTCTCCCGCGCGCACGCGAAACTTAAACTTATGTACAAATATTATCTCCCTATAGGAATACTACCTCATAGCTCCCTCCAATAAAGACCCTAAGATGGCTCTCGCTGGCATGGCCAGGCTCAGAGAGCACAGGCCGCCCCCTCCCAAAACCAATAAATACAGACCTCTCTCTCGCCCTCTCTCTCTCACTCCCTCTTCCCACCAGGCGGTTACAGACCTCCTTCCCTTTCCCTGTAGTCGCTGCTCTAATAAATCTCTTGGCCTCAAAGGGTACCGAGTCTCACTGGCGCCATCGTCCTTCAGGATATAAGATCAGGAAAGTATGAGAGGCTACATGGAGAAAAGCCTTACATGGGACTGTAAGGGCTCTGGCTTTAATTCTAGGTGACATGGGAAACCTCTGGAAGATTTTTTTTGTTTTTTTAAGAGATGGTGTCGGCTGGGCATGGTGGCTCACGCACTTTGCAAGGCTAGGGTGGGAGGGGCTGCTTGAGCCCAGGAGTTCAAGACAAGCCTGGGCAACATAGTAAGCCCTCACTTTACCAAAAAAAAAAAAAAAAAAAAAAAGAGAGACAGAGAGATGGTGTTGCTCAGGCTGGAGTGCAGTGAGTGGTGCAATCATAGCTCAATGCAGCCTCAAAATCCTGGGCTTAAGTGATGCTCCTGCTTCAGCTTCTCTGGAAGGTTTGAGTATGAAGAGTAACAAGATCTGACTTATTCTTTTATTTTTATTTTTTTTGAGTTGGAGTCTCACTCTGTCGCCCAGACTGGAGTGCAGTGGCTGCTCCCGGCCACCGCAGCCTTGACCTGCTGGGGCTCCGGCGATCCTTCCGCCTCAGCCTTCCGAGTAGCCGGAATTACAGGCACGCGCTACCATGCCCAGCTGATTTTTTGATTTATTGTAGAGATGAGGTCTTGCCAAGTTGCCCAGGCGGGTCTCGAACCTGTGGGCTCAGGCAATCCACTCACCTCAGCCTCCCAAGGCGCGGGATTACAGGCTGAGCCACCGTGCCCAGCTTGACTTATTCTTTTAAATACTGCAAAGCCAGAGTTCAGTCTGGCTGCTGTACTCAAGAAAAGGCTGTGGGCTGGCAAAGTGGGAAGGGCAGTCAAAATTATCTTCCAGTAACTGCTCACAATACTTTCACTAAGATATGGTGAAGTTACCTTATGCTCAAAGGTCAATGTCTAAGATCCACCCTTTTCTCTGTCTCCTACTCTGCCCACAAACCAGGTCATTTCTTGATGTCCCCAACCCTGGCTAGCGGTGCCACCATCCACACTGTTGTGTAAGCCCAGCCCTGTGAATTATGCTGCATGCTTCCCTTTCTCTAATTCCCCAGATCAAATCCAGCACCTACTCCTGTCCCTTTCTTACCTCACCCTTCAATCTCTCTTAAGCCTATACTCTTTATCACTACTTATTTTTTTCCATTTAGCTAGGATGGACTCTGAGGATGAGAATGGTATACTACATAGACAAGACTCTGCATTCAAGGAGCTTCTCTTCTAGTAGGTAGAATCAAAGAATTAAAGGTTAATAAATGGCTGGATGTAGTGGCTCAGCCTGTAGTCCCAGCACTTTGGGAGGCTGAGGCGAGAGGACTGCCTGAACCTGGGGAGTTCAAGACCAGCCCGGGCAACTTGGTGACACCTCGTCTCTACAACAAATCACAAAAACTAGCTGGGAGTGGCGGTGTGCATCTGTAGTTCCAGCTACTTGGAAGGTTGAGGTGGAAGGATCGTCTAAGCCCAGCAGGTCGAGGCTGTAGTGGCCGTGATGAGAGTGAGACACCAACTCAAAAAATAAATAAATAAAATAAAAAATAAAATAAAGTTTAATAAATGAACAAAACAATGTTAGAGAGTAATACATGATGAGAAGGAAGTAAATCGGATGATATAACAGGCACTCCCTCCTTAAATAGCATCATCATGGAAGACCATTAGAGGAAGTTAACAGCGAGCTAAGACATGAAAGATGAAAAGAGAAATGGTCAGGAGGAAAAATTCTAGTGGAGGGAGAACAGAAAGGCCCCTGATAGAATTAACTGAACAATGTGAGAGGTGGCCCCTGAGGCTACAGCTTTGAACCTGGGGAAAATGGCAAGAGAGCAGACAGAAGAGAGATCACCTAAGGCTTTGTTTAGGCAATTACAGGCTTTTTAATTTTTTAAGAAAACAGGATTTATTGAGAGGACAGTAAAGCTTCCACAGTGGGAGGGGTCCTGAAGGGGTTTCCCTTTTTTAAAAAATTTAATTAGAGTCAGTTGGACACAGTGAATCACACCTGTAATCCCAGCACTTTGGGAGGCTGAGACGGGAGAATTGCTTGAGCCCAGTTTGAAACCAGTCTAGGAAACATAGTGAGACCTTATGTCTCTAAAAAAAGATTTTAAAAAGTAACCAGGCATGGTGGCACATGTCTGCAGTCTCAACTACTCGGGAGGCTGAGGTAGAAAGATCATCTGCATCTGGGAGGTCGAGGCTGTAATGAGCTGTGATCCTGCCACTGCACTCAAGCCTGGGCGACAGAATGAAACCTCGCCACACACAAAAAAGAGTTGGGGTCTTGCTATATTGCCCAGGCTGGAATGCAGTGGCTATGCACAAGTATGATTTTTTTTTTTTGAGTTGGAGTCTCACTCTGTCACCCAGGCTGGAGTGCAGTGGCAAACTCACAGCCACTACAGCCTCGACCTGCTGGGTTCAGGCTGTCTTTCTGCCTTAGTCTTCCAAGTAGCTGGAACTACAGGCACACACCACCATGCCCGGCTAATTTTTTGGTTTATTGTAGAGATGAAGTCTCACCAGATTGCCCAGTCTGGTCTTGAACCCATGGGTTCAGGCAATCCTCTCACCTCAGTCTCCTAAAAAGTGGTGGGATATAGGCATGAGCCACCATGCCCGGCCTACAGGTATGATTACAGTGTACTACAGACTCAAACTCCTGGGCTCATGCTATACTCTTGCCTCACATCACCACACCTAGTTTTGTACACTTTATTGTAAGAAATCTGGAATTAAGTTGTTTTGGTTTCTTTGAGACAGGGTTTCACTCTTGTCCAGCCTGGACTGCAGTGGTGTCATCCTGGCTCACCATAGCCTCAAACTCCTGGGTTCAAGAG